TAGAGTTGTACTATGAAAAAGCAATGCCAACAATTATACCCATCACAAAAATGTAGTAACATAGTATCCCAAATAAAATCCCAAATAAAATACAGTATGCGGTATATTTTATACTCTGAAAAATCAGACCTCACTCTTAAAACCTCAAATTTATATGAAACAAGACATTTTAACAATGTATGAATAAATTGTGGTCATCAGTTTCTCAAGATTGAAGAAATAATGTTTAGATCTAATGTTACACTTTAAGTTGAGAATGTCTGCTAGATGTTTATATTTCAATATAGTAATTAGCAAAATATTTATTAACATATCTATTATTTATTAATATTTATTAATGATATCTTTAAGAAAATGCTTGCATATAATACAAACAAAATTATTAAAATTTTCTATAATTATATTTATGTACAATGTGGTTTTCTGGGAATAGACATAGTGCTTGCTATTTTTATCACTGTCATGCTGACATATGCTTGTATTTTAAAAATATCTGGTTAAGCAAATTTGTGTTTAAATAAATTTGTATAATATTAACAATAATACTAAGAAATTTGAACAGGTATTATTTCATATGAACTAAAAAAGTAATGCAGATATGAGCACTCAGATTATGAAGACACAAATATGAAAAAAAAATTATGATTATTAAACCTACACTCAATAATATACAAAAATCAAGAAATATAGTTGCTGCAAAAAGCAAGTAAGACTTACACAGCAAACATTCCCATACCAACAAATCCCTCTTAGCTACCATGTCTCATGGCAACACCATCTCCTAACAATAAGCTATCCAAACAAAACAAAGTAACAACAAGTTCTGGTAAATTAAACTCATGGAAATGGTCTCCTAGCAACAAGATTTTAGAATAACACAATAATAATTAGAACACATAAATTGAAATGCAAGTGTTTTTATTAACAGTTAAATTAGAAAAATCAAATGTTGGGATTGGACTTGAGCTTCTTTAATATAGTCTAAGCAAAGCCAAGGCTAAATATAGCATTTTCTTAAGTGTAAATTTGATTGTAAGTTGACATAATCCATACAAGTACAGTATATACTCAAAAGGTTTTCTTGGGTAATTTATGTTCCACTTATGAAAAAAATTACCCTACTTGTAAAAGACTAAAATTTCAACTTTCTACATTAATCAAACATTACAAGCTGGTGATCTTGACATGTTTTGTAGACTGATTCCATTGATACGAAATTCTAGTATCATGTTTATATTTCACATAAACATTCTTCTTTTTTTGAGAATGCTTTTAAAGACTTACGAATATTCAAATACAGTCCTAAATATATTGTTGAACATTTCTTGTTTATTTTTATATTATAATATATTGGCTTGCTGGAAAAATATATCACAGAAATGCTACTACCAAGATCCATGAATGTTATAGTTATCCAGAGGGCAGCCTTTACAGATTTATTTAGACATGGTATTTGGCTTCTCCACCTAACATGCATAAATATTAATATTTTCGAAGTTTTAGAAAGAAGACTAATTTTTTTGTAATGTTGAAATAAATCTGATTTTAAGTTAGATGATTTTAAATTATAATTATTATTTTTATGTTCACAATGTGGGATAACAGGTAACTAATGAATTAATTTAATTTGACATAAGCATCTTTTAAACAAATATCAGTCCTACAATGTATATATTTATATTTTAGCTTTTTTAGCTTTTTGGGGGTAGTTTATGGTCCATCGACTTTTCACCTACTGCCAACATTTGTACTATGTCAAGTTTGTCATACAGCATTGATCACTGTCAATGATAACCAAATGCTCTCTCTTGAGAATGGTTAATATTATAACATAAATAATACTGATAATATATATACATATACAGTGTATATATATATATATATAC